ACTTGCCTTCTACATTTCATTTGCTTGTTAGTTTTTGTCTAGGATGGGGCTGTGATGTCCAGACTCTGGGCACTTTGTCATGAAGAAGCTGTGCTGCTGGCACTCACTGCTCTACCATTTTTCTCTAGGAGTCTTTGGAAAGTTTTGAGGTTGGTGCGAGCGAAACAGAGAAGGGTTATTTCATACAATGACTTTCACTATCACTAATAGAACAATTGCTATTTATGGGCTCAACAGAATGTTTTTCTTTTGTGCAAGTTTAGTAAAGAACCTATCCAGCGACATTTGCCTTTGCACCCTTTCAAGGATTTCTTGGAAATCTGACACTACACTGTCAGTAAACAGATCACTCACACTGCCACAGGATGGTGTCATGGTATTTTCTATAAAATTCTGCACTGGTTCACACATCTCCCTAATCTCATTTGAAGTGAGGTCATTCCTTTGCCTTTTCTTCCTTCTCAATCTCCCCATAAACTCTTGTTTTTACGAGATGATCATCTAGGACCCCTTCAGACAGACGATTCCATTCACGCCCCTTCTGCTGTCTCTGTTCCGGGTTCAAGCGATCCGCTGCCGGCAAACTGGCCTCCAAGTCCTAGAAAGGGAGCCCAGGAACTCCCAGGGGCCCTAACATTACTAATATTAACTGGAACACAGAATGAGGTAGGAGAACTGGAGGAGAGGGGAGAGAGCGGAAAGAAGGGGATTAAAAAGAAATAAACTATGGCATGTGCCCTCTCCAAGATGATTGTAAGCTGCAAGCAAGCACTAATAAAATAAAAAATAAAATTTAAAAACTACATTCTCATCAGTGACTCTTATCAATGTCTTCAGAACTTTCTCATCATCTCACACAAAAACTCTGTACCCACTCAACAGAACCACTCCCCATTTCTCCCTCCCCCAACCCTGTTACACTGTTCTATCTCTAGAATTTGACTATTCTAGGTACCTCATAAAAATGTAATCATATAATATTTGTTCTTTTCTGTCTCCCTTTTTTCTCTCAGAAAAATGTCTTTGAAAAAATAAAAATCATCTAAATAATACAATATCCTCTGAGATTCATCCATGTTATAGCATGTGCCAGAATTTCATTTCTTTTTAAGGCTTAATAGTAACTGTAGGTAAGACTGGGGGTGTAGCTCAGGGTTAGTTCACTTCCCTAGTATATGCAATACCCTTGGTTCTATTCCCGAAACTACACCAAACATACATACACACATACACAGGTACTATATTTTGTTTATCCATTCACTGACAAACTTTAGGTTCTATCTTAGCTACTTTTTCCTTGCTGAGATAAATACCTAACATCCACAAGGTAAAGAAGTTAAGGTTTATTTTGGCTCACAGTTCATAGAGGTTTCAAGTCATGGCTGGCTGGCTCCAAGGCAGGGTGGCATTGCAGAGGAGAAACAGTTCATGAGATGGCAGGCAGAAGGCAACAGGCAGCAAGCAGCCAGTCTGCATTTCTCTTTTACTTCATCCAGGCTACCAGCCTTTTGGGTGGTGCCATCCAGAAGTATGTTAATTCCAATCAGTGGATAATTTAGTACCACAATACTTAATCCCAGTATCACATGCCCTAGATCTTCCCAACTCCAATTCCCAGCTATGAGCACATGAAGCTTTAAGGGAACTTCTATATACAAGCCATAACAGGTTGCTTCTAAATTCTGACTATTGTGAATGCTGTCGCTCTGAATGTGGGTATACACGCATCTGAAGTCTTTGCTTTCAAGTCTTTTGTGTATATACCCAAAGTGAAATTGCTTGATAATATGGTAAGTCTATGTCTAATGTTTTGGGAAACTGTCATAGTTGTTTTTTGGGTTTTTTATGGTACCAGGGATTTGAACTCAGGACCTTGAGCTTTTGAGGCAGGCAGTGGAACCACTGAGATAAATCCCTAGCAATACTGTAGTATTTTTTTTCAGCTTTATACTGTAGTATTTTTGACAGCTGCTATCATTTTACATTCCCACAAAGAGTTCCAATTTCTCCACATACTGGCTAATGCTTGTTCTGCTTGTTCTGTTTGAGTGTGTGTGTGTGTGTGTGTGTGTGTGTGTGTGCGCACGCGCGCGCGCGTGCACACTTCATGTAATATCCATTCTGATAGATGTGAAGTGGAATCTCTCTGGTTTTGGTTTTATTTCCCTGAGTACTAATTATATTAAGCATATTTTCATGTGCATATTGGCCATTTGTGTATCTTCTTTGGAGGAATCTGTTGTTTGCCTGAGATCTTTACCTAATTTTGTATTTTGTTGCTTTTGGTGGTGCTAGGGATTGAACTCAGGACTTTATGCATGTCAGGCAAGCACTCTACCACTGAGCTACGTCCTCAGTCCTCTAAATCTAATTTTTAATTGTCTGCTTTCCTGTTGAATTGAGTTTTCTAAATATTTGAGGGGTTAACCCAGTATCAGATATATAATTTCCAAATATTTTCTCCCCATTTTAAGTGTAAGTTGCCTCTCCATTTTGTTCATTCATAGCATTAGCTGGCATAACAAAAAGTTTCTAATTTTGGGCTAGAGATTTAGTTCAGTGGTGCCACCACCTGCCTTTCAAGTATAAGGTCCTGAGTTCAATCTCTGATTCAAAAAAAAAGTTTCTAGCTGGGCATGGTGGCGCACGCCTGTAATCCCAGCACTGGGGAGACTGAGGCAGGAGGATTGCTGTGAGTTAGAGACCAGCCTGGGCTACATAGTGAGTTCCAGGTCAGTTTAAACTACATAGTGAGAACCTGTCTCAAAAAAAAAAAAAAAAAGTTTCTAAATTTTATGAAGTCCAGTTTATTTTTTCTTTAGTCGCCTATGCCTTTGACATCATATCCATGCAACAACTGCCAAATTCAGTATTAGCTCTTACATTTTGGTGTCTGGTCCATTTAAGAGTTAATTTTATTTATGGTGTTATGTAAGAGTCCAACTTTTTTTTTGCCCGTGTGTATTTAAGTTTTCTAGAAACCTTTTTTAAAAGACACTGATTTGCCCAGCCAATGGTCTTCACATCTGCATCAAAAATTATCTGATAACATACAAGTGCTTACTTCTGGGCTTTCTGTTTTATTCCATTGGTCTGTATGCCTCTCTTTATGCCATTACCACTCTGTTTTGATTACCACAGTAAACTAAAATTGGGAAGCATGAGTCCTCTATCTTTGTTTTGTATATTTTTAAAGCAAATTTCATTTTTAAATTTCCAAATAGGTGTACTAAACTGAACGATATCTAAACTTTTTTATTGGCAGAATTCTTCGGGATTCTAGACTCAGAATCTACAGGATTCTTAGGAAAGAAGCCCTTAAGAGTATTTTAATGCTAAAATATGAAGTTTTAGCCAGGTGTGGTGGCACACACCTTTAATCCTAGAGCTGGGGAGGCTGAGGCAGGAGGGTCACAGACAGTTTAAAGCCAACCTGGGCTATGTAGTAAATTCAAGGCCAGCCTTAACTACAAAGTGAGATCTTGTCTCAAAAAACAACAACAAAGAAAAAAACAGGGCCAGGGATTTAGCTCAGTGGTTCTGTGCCTACCTCACAAGTACAAGGTCCTGAGTTCGATCCCTGGCCAAGAAAATACTCTCCAAACCCCCCAAAAGCAAAAAACAAGCAAACAATAAATAAAAAACAAAAAATACGAAGACCTTCCGATACTTGATCTTAGCCAAAAGCTGAAGAAACTATACAAAGTCCTTATTAATGGTTCAAATCATAAATTACACACTTAAAACACTTAATGGAACCAGAAGCATAGACCCAAAACATGTTTAAAATGAGTACATTCTGAAGGCCAAATAAAACAATGTGCAGGTAAATGTGACTCTAATGCTGCAAGGTGACAGAGCACACCTAAATGTGATGAATTAAATATTTTATATAGGAAAAATACATTGTGTGTTCTAAACAGATTTTACAGTCTAAACTGTATGTTAGGATATATGATATGCCATGTCCATCCTATAAAGCCAAGGCAGAAAGCAATGAAAAGAAGCAAGGTCTCTGGTCAAGCTGCCTAGGTTTAAATAGCATCTTCATTTTCCCTTTTCTGCAATATAATAATGATACCTCTCTCATAATATTACGAGGATCAAATGAGATAAAATGCTTAATATTAAAAGCACCTGGCCTTTGGTATGTGTTCAATAAAAACATAACCAAACCAAAAAAAAAATGTTTTCGAATTTTTTGTCTAAGGATTTTAGGTGGTATATATTCAAATAAAAAAAGATAAAAGAGATTTAACAACCCAAATAAGAGAAAAAGGAGTAAAAATTTAAAAACCAGTAAAATGTAGGCTCAGCACATAATACATACTTGAACTACTACTGGCTCTTACTTATAGCTAAAAACCTCTTCCCCAACAATAAAAACACAAACATGGCTCCTAGACAACACTACCATGGTATCTCCAACTGGTTTTCATTTGCCACTGTTTCAGACTAAGCCACTACCTTCCTGCTTTCCATGAGTTTACCCTCATAATTACCTAGAAAAGAAATGTAAACTACCACACTTCTTTCTCTGTTATTCTGATAGGTGGTATTATGTATAGTGGGATAAGTGCTCATACTGGGATAAGAATCCTAAGTTTAAAATTTTTTTTCAGTAGCTTTCCACTAAAAATATAACCACCATGGTTATAGTTTTGTTTGAAACGTATTCCATCCATTATAAAGGTCAAAGGACTTTATTTATTTATTTTATGGTACCGGGATCTAACTCGGGACCCTGTGCTTACGAGGCAGGTGGCAGAACCACTGCCCCCAAGTCAAAGGACTTTAAACCAATCTCTATACAATAATCCTCATACCACCTATCTGAAAAATAACTCAGTTCACATAGTGATACAATGGCATCTTAATTTGTTGAAACACCCATGGAAGAGGAGGAAGAGTCTGATAAAAGTGACACAGGAACTAGTGCCATGGGGTATGCTGACATTGCACACACCTTCCTTTCTATCGATCTTTTCACACAAACTCACCAGTTTTACACTCTGAGCACATGAACTTTCCTTCAGGGACTGATGTGAATCCCAGGCACTCCAGGTGAAAGTGTTTGCAGCACTCTCCCTCACAAGGAACTAGAGAGTCACCAGAGCTTTCACAGATCTGTAATATAGGGAGAAAAAAGAAAGAGTGGTTCTCAAGCTTTAGCAGGCATTAGAGCTACCCAGAGGGCTTATGAAAATATACATCACTGGATTCCTGTCTCAGAGATACTGATTCAGTAGGTCTAGAGGACCAAGTGTTTGCATTTCTAACAAGTACTCTGAAGATGCTAATACTGCTGCTGGTCCTTGGCCTCCACTGTGAAAACTACTGAACTAGATAGCTATGACCGCTATTTCTGTACCCCATATGACATAAAATTTACTAAGTCATACTTTAGCACAGTGCTTGCCTAGCAAGTCCGAAGGTCAGGTTCAAGCCCCAGTATCACAAAAATAAATAAATGTATGTATGTCATACTTCAGCGTTTATGATTCCCTCTTTGGGATCTGCATACTTTATAACCTTTTGTCACAGAACAAAGCAATAGTTTTCCAAAAAAAGTAAAAGCACATTTAAAAAGTTAACATGAATTCAAATGTAAGAAATGTTTTCAAAATGGGTCATCTGCTATTTATTCCCAATTAATATCACAATGACAACTTGCATTTACATTTGAGTAAGTATTCCAACTCAGGGAAACAATGAGTTGGAAAGAGCTTCCAGATCTGTAGCTTTAAAGTAACAGCACAAGTTAGAAAAATATTGACCTCTTCCGTAAGAGGTAAGTGTATCATTGGCAGAATACGATCACACCCATTTTCAGTCAGATGATGAGTCACCTGCCTACCTGACATACAGTGTCCTTCCTACTCATTCCAATGCCTCTTCGGGACAAACTTGAATCCACGGACTGTACATCAGAGACATCGGCATCTGCAGCAGCTGACGGGCTATCTACTTGTTTTCCAAAGCCTACCTACAGTACATTTGTAAGAAAAATAAAACAAAAATTCCATTGAAATTAGATGCGATAAAAACCCTGGTAAGACTTGCTCAAATAAATCTTAACATAATCTTTTTTAAAATCCATGAAACCTATATATCTCTCATTTTGCAAGAAAATGTAAACAAACTGCTTCCGTTAGGTTAAAAGATCAGCAAAAGTAAGACATTAAGTGCCAGGCACGGTGATGAGGCAGAAGGCAGGAGGATCATCATGAGGTCAAGGCCCAAATGGGCTGGTGAGTTCAAGGCCAGCCTGAACTACAGAGCAAGACCCTCTCTCAAAAAACAAAACAAAACAACACTATTAAGTTACAAAACAAGCAGTGATTTTTTTTTTTTTCCTAAAGTGTATTTTTAAAATTCTCCGAGCCAGGAAAAAGCATTATGCTACTTTGGTTTGCAAAGCAGAATACAGTATTCTACTCAGACCCTTGCATATATTTACCTGCAGATCACTCAGTCCTCTAGAGTCGGAGTCAGATGTGTCTCTGTAGGCTGAACCACTCATTTCTACATCAGTTGAGGCGCGACTCCTTTTCTTGAGAGGCTTACAGGAATCTGAAATCTCGCTGGCACCTTAATACAACACACTAAAATTAATTCTAAAATAGTAAAGTTTGTGTTTTAATTTTTTGGTGGGAGAATATTTTTCCCAAAACTCATCTTTCGTGTGAAAAACAGCACAGCTCTTTTTGTAACACCAAGGCCATAAATCAAAACTTCATAAGCTTCTGACCTTCTGGGTAGTGATTTAATTTAGTCGCTATTAAAACATTTAATTCAGTTTACCTGCCCTAATACTATTTTCAGTCAGCAGAGCCCAAATTCCATCCTAAAAATCAAGTCTATTAAGACTGCAAGATAAATGACTGATTTGGAGCAATTCAAAGAACCATTCAATTTGGAGGGGGAAGACATAAAACCCAACACACTGTGTAGCTTACAAATATGGTTGCAGAAACATCTCCATCTTGTTTTTATTAGGGATGTGACAAATCTTTGATTTGTATTCGATTCGTACACGGATAGTGCCATTTTCCCCTGAATTTTGCAATTCAGTTGATTATTGCCCCCCAAATAAATTTTGGATGTTGATAATCGTCCATCTGAGACTTCCTTGGTGAAGTGGCATTTATTGTGACTATTAACAAGTGCTGTAGCACATCAACAAGTGTCATGCCATTAGCAGGCACACTGCTGAGGGTAGTGAATGGATAGCGTTCAATGCAGCCAAGTCATGGAGAGCTGGATGAGAGGCCTCTATGTGGAATTTATGCGGGGAGGAGTAAACACGAAGAAAAAAAAAAAAGGCAGAGAATAGTGTGGAATTTTTTTTAAAACTGTGTGTAATACAAATCCAGCCAAAACAATAGTGCAAAAAGTTACAAAGCAACAATCTCTTGGGCTAATGCGGTATAGGCTATACAGAAACAGCCACGATGAAATGTGCAGATCAGGCACGGTGAATACCAAGGAACCAAGGAGACGGTTAATATTTCCACCCACAGTTTGTGTTTTGGATTTTCCCCCAAAATTTCCATATAACAGACAGACATCTAGATCAGCCCAGCAAGCTATGGTGGAAGTGTGCAGTCCAGAAGAGACCAAAGAGAAACAAGTCTCCTGAGGCCACGAAGATCCGCAACAGGCTGAATGGGAGCAGCACTTGGTACATAGCCATGTTCTGTGATGGAGGATGTGGGCCTCGGGAGACTGCTCGGATTACTGGAACCTTGTTATCACATCCCATCTACAAGTTTTTCACTGAATGCTTCCTGACAGCTATGAATGAGGGTGCCTGCCCATGTTAACGCTGATTTAAAAACACAAGTACACAAATCTATCTCCTTCATTGCTGGTGTATGGACCCAGAACACCACCACAAAGTATTTCCTTGGCCTAAAAGATCACTGGATTAACAAGGAGTTTTAACAGAGGAACAGGAGTGCTGTACTGAGAGGCTTTCGAAGGGAAACACAGGTACCGCCATTTTCGATGAGTTTCTGAAAATGATAGAAAAACCGACAGACTGCTGAAAACAGCTGTCATGCTGTTCTCCATGATAACGGCACTAATATTAAAAAAAATAAGAGCTTTTAATGATCGCAATGTATACAGTTTGGGCTGTTTGGCAAAACCCTGCAGATGTGCATTAATGATGCTTTATTTAAAAACAAAAAACAAAAAAACCCCAAAAATAGTCCATGTTGGAATTGATCAGTGTAAGTTAAACGGTGGTTTTTAGGCTGGATTCATGATTTAAGCTGTACCCATCCAGCTCAGACTAAAAAAAGAAAAAAGAAAAAAAAAAAAGAAAAAAGAAAAAGAAAAGAAAAAGAAAAAATCATTTGAATGTTAAAGCAATTGTTCTTGAAGAAACCAGGCAGGAGAATGCCAATAACGATGATTGGCAAAATCGAAATCGAAAACAAAGAAACTGTTTATCGAGCCGCCGACAAAGAAATCTTGCATGGAGACTACAAGTCTGGAGTTTCTGGGATGAAATTGTACAGGAATCTCAGTCCACAGTTTCCTCAATCGCTGCGGAGACGGAGCTGTCACTGAATCTGACAGAGCCCTGCACTCCCCGGTCCGCCGACCCTGTGGAATGGTGGAAACACAACGCAATCAGGCCTCCTAATCTCGCAGCGATCGCGATGTCTTTTCTTGGAGCTCCGCCAAGCAGTGTTCCCTCCGAGAGGCTGTTCAGTTCTGCTGAGGATCTCCACGGAGACCATCGCTGCAGACTTCTCCCCGAGAATGCAGAGAGGCTGGTGTTTTATTTTATTTTATTTTATTTTATTTTATTTTATTTTATTTTATTTTATTTTATTTATTTATTTATTTTTAAATAATGCAATTTGCCCAGAGTAAACTACAAGTATTAAATACAGTTTTGAGCTCACCAAAAACGCATGAATCATGCTATGGAGTTTGTACTGTAGTCAAATTGCACACAAAATACAGATATAAGTTTAAGGTTTCTTAAACTTTGTGCATATCTCAAATAGAGTCACATAAAGTCATCTAATAGTGGCCATAACTATGCTATGGATCATTTTAATTTAAAAAAAAAGGTTTTACAGCACTGTAAAAATAAATGTGGCAAAATTTTTTTCAACTGGGTTGTCTTTTCGGATTTGTCATTAGTCCATGGTTTGACAAACATTAATAGCTACTATTCGGTATTCAGTCGAATACCAAAAAAAGTGGATTCGTCACATCCCTAGTTTATAAGCCAGTGAAACCCCAGAATTTTATGGAGAAAAGCTGGAAACAGTATCAAGTCTACATGGTGTTCTCCAATTTACCGAAACAAGTAAGACTTTTCACATGAAGATACAGAGTAAGATCAACTCTGAAAGTCACACGCACACACACACAAACACTGGGGAATACTGCAATTTCACACTGGAGAGCAACAACAATGATTTACAGAGACAGACAAAATACATGAAGTACAAATAAGTGATTCTTTAAAGCTGGTTTAATCAAGGAAATGCAAAGCAACATTATATTAACTCACCTTTCTGTAATGCAGTCTTCACTGTAGCCTGAGGAACTGTTTCAACCTGTTTGGGTAGAAAAACACAGCATTAATAAGAAGTTTTTTGTTTTGTTTTGGTTTGGTTTTTTAAAACTTTAATTAACAGGGAAAAAAATAACACTTTCATCAATCTAAGTAGTGATGAGTGATCAATGTATCGAAAATCTGAACTCAGTCCCATTTTCTGGGTCAAGTTCTCTGTCTCAAGGCCAGGGAAGGTTTAAATCCTAGCTGCCTGTGCTGAATACCAAGTGACAACACAAAGCCACATGCTCTCTAGCAAAGACTTTTCCCACCATTCCCTTGGTATATGAAAAAAAAAAGAATACTTTCCTCAGTGTCTGGAAGGCAAGAGAGGGGTTGTTTCTGCAACCAGCCCCGATGTTGCTATAAACCCCTCCCGCCCCAAAGACGTTAGGATAAATTTTTACTTACTATGATACTCAGGTTAATGTAACTCACGCCACTTTAAGACCCTTCCGCGCCTGCACTCACAGCTAAGTTGCTGGGAATCAGGACCCTCTCTGTAGAGAGTGCTACAGGGCTCCATACAGCTGGAAGCTCAATACTTTTGCTGCTAGTACAAACTTAAGAAAATAAGTTTGTGATATTGCAAAAGCACTTTCTTGAGTGTCTTATGAACAGTGTCTTGATCCTACATTAGGAGAGCGAGATCAGAAGTTATTCTGCCAATGTATATGTAAAACACGTGGTAATTTGAGGATTGAACCATTAGAATTAGAGAGAGGATGCTCTTTGGAGGAGTTCCTGTTTAAGCTATGAGTTGAATTTCATGTTTAAGATGTGGTGAAATATGCATGTTGAAACACATTTTGTAAATATTTAATGATTGTTCTAAGCTTTTTAAAAATTTTTTTATTTTTTACAACAGGTAAAAAAACATACAACATAAATGCTTTTTATAAGATACAATTAAGTCATACAAATATAAAATCTTCTAACAATCACTGGTATTATTCTACTACTAACTATAACACAGTGGCATTAACAATGTGTCCCATTTTTTAGTACTCATTCTGCTTATTAATTTTAAACTGGTCACAGACTGAATTTGGGAACCAGGTGGCAAAATCACAACTTTATTTTAGTAATGAATACTATAGATTTGCAAGAGTTTAAGATTTTTTGGAATATAATTTTCTAAGTATGAAAGTATGCTAAATGAATGACAAATTAGTATATTACTTCACTTTTAGTTGAATATTCTGGAAAAATTGTTTGACATGCTTGTGATACCACAGAGCACCCACAAAGACAGATTTTAAAATTAGAAGTTTAAAATTATGAAGGCAGTATTTTATATAGAAAAGTCCACACTCTTCCATAATAAATGATTTTAAAATATAAAACTTACTGGAACTAATTCTACTCAGAATATGTTCTGTTTAAGATCAGGTGTCCAGGCTGAATAAATGGATATTCACTTAAAAAATTAAGAAAGTTTGGATTGTGAGTTCAAAGGAGAATGGTTTCTAAAAATGTCTTTGAAAGGGTAATTTAACATATATATTACTACACTGACTATACCAGTTGAGCACATTTAGTCAAAATGTACCTCCTCTTCTTTTTAACTTAAATATTGTTTATCTGACAACCTATACTAGGTGAGTGCCATTTCACTGGGAAAATAACATTCCAAAAAATCTGTGATATCAACAGAAAAACCAGATCATCTATAACTATCTTTTTCTTAAATATAAGTTAAATTAATTTGATTTATTAAAAAAAAATACATACCAGCAGCTTAAACCAAAAATCAAAAAATTTTAAAAAGGGAATTCAATGATGTCCCCCCAAATCACGAAGACATAAAATCATTTTGCTCATAACAGAAATTTCAAAATAAATGTGAGGGTTTTAAGAGTCTCGAACCACTGGCTTCCCATCCCCTGAAGCCTGTCTGTTTTGTGTGAAAATGCCTGAAGCAGAAGCCCAGGGATGGCTGTATTAGGACTGGGCACTGGAACTCCCAGGACAGAAGCATAAGACAGTCCAGAAAGGAAACCCAGAGTGGAGGAAGTTTCACTTTCTTTTAAGATACTGAGATAAGCCACAACATTTACAAATACAGTGCTTTAACTCTCTACATGTAGGAAGCCAACCTGCTCCTTTTTGATCTTCTTCTTTGGCACAGCTTCAGCGGACTTCTCTGATTCAGAACGAGTCCTAATTGATCTTCTCTGTTGCTTCTTTTCTACTGAGCCTAAGAGATGATTTAAACACATAAATACTCATTTAAGGATGGCTTAACATTCATTAGCTAAGATATGGCTAGATTTTTTGCCTTTCTCATCCAGTACTTTTGGAATTTTAATTATAAGCCATTGAAAAGCTTTCACATATTTGGAAGCACAAAAAAATTACTTAACAGATCAAATTGTAAAGGCTGCCAAGATGAGATTGGGATCCACAAAAGATACTGGTTATACAAATAAAGGGAGATTAATTTTTTTTTTTAATTGTAAAGTCAAACTGAAACAGCAGAGGTAATTCACTTTTGAAGGCACATAAACACATTTAGGTAAATATATTTGAGGGATGAAAGGACTGAAGAGATGCATAAAATTGACTATTACCCTGTTTACACAGGTATTACTGTTTCAAAATTCTTAACAAATTAGTTTAATTAATTCCATGGGTAAAAAAGGTTAACAGTAAGGCCAGGGATTTAGCTTAGTGGTGCCACTGCCTGCCTCGCAAGCGCAAGGTCCTGAGTTTTATCCCTGGTACAAAAAAAAAAAAAAAAAAAAAAAAAAAGGTTAACAGTACTTGGTAGGCTCAAATTAAGTCTTGCTACTGTCATTAATACTCAAAGCAAGACAAGCAGCAAAGGCACAAAAATGTGACCATCAATTTGACCACCAAGGGACTTTGGTTACACTTTAGAAATAGTCATAGAAACTTACTTGAAACAAATTATCCAGCTTTTGCATGCTAAATGATAAAACAAGAAGCTAAGTTTTTTAAAAAAATAGTACATTCTCATCCAGGCGTAGTGGCGCAAGCCCATAATCGCAGCACTTGGGAGGTTGAGGCAGGAGGATCGCTGAGAGTTCGAGACCAGCCTGGGCTACACAGTGAGTTCCAGAGCAGTCTGAACTATATAGTGAAACCCTGTCTCAAAAAACAAAACAAAACAAAACCCAGTACATTCTCAGGCCAGGGATTTAGCTCAGCGGTGTTGCCGTCTGCCTTATAAGTGCAAGGACCCAACTTCAATACCCAGTACCAAAAAAAAAAAAAAAAAACCAAAACCAGTACATTCTCTAAAAATAATCAGAAAACGTACATGGACTCCATTTTTGGGAAGGATAAAACTTAGATTTAAAACTACAACTTGAAAAAGCGCTAAGGTTTGATTTGCCTATGAGATCTTAAGGAGGAATGATGCCTTCAGTGACACTAGTTGTTGTGTTTTTAATGCTTAGACCACTTAAAATTGTCCTAAGTAAGAATTCACTGGTCACAGGAGGCAAGTATTAAGATGTCCTATAGCTGGGTGTGGTGGCACTTGCCTGCAATCTGAGAACCCAGGAGCCTGAGACAGGAGGGTTGCAGTGGGTTCAGGACCAGCCTGGGCTACAGTCAGCCCAAGGCTAGCCTAAACAACAGAGCAAGACCGCCATCTCAAAACAAAACAAAACACAACAAAAATAATCTATAAAATCAGAAGGAAGCCATTCCAATACAGCTTTCCAGATAACCTATGTATTGTCTGATTTCATTGCTCAGGGTCATATGTAAATGGCCTCCTTCACTTAAGTTCAAAGCCAAACCAAAGAAGGATCCCACTACAATAGTGTGTTTTTGGTGAGGAGTGGAGAGTTTGCTAATAATCCATTTTGGAGCTGTGATTAATCAATTTCTAGCAGAGAAGTCACAAATAAAAGTGTTGGCTCCTTCCTTTACACTCATTCTCTTTCACTGATGAAAATGTTTACTAAGTCACCTACCCTCGTGGACCAACCAAAGATCCCAGAGATCTGTACATTGGTACAATCATAAATATTCAAGTACCACCAGGAGAGAATAAAATGTAAGTGGAGCTGCTTCAAATCAAATAAAAACTACTTGTTTAGATGATGACAATATACATGAACCATAAAGCGCAGATGAGATAGGATCTGCTGTCTTACAGGGATGAGGCAACGTGGCTTCCTAAAATCATTCTGAAAGCTGCCCATTAAAAAGTACTATAGGGCCAGGGATTTGGCTCAGTGTTTCTGCCACCTGCCTCACAAGTGCAAAGGCCAGAGTTTGATCCCTGGTACCCCCCCAAAAAAAAGTACTATAATGCTTATCTTCTAAAAGATAGGAGGTGAGCATGTCCGGATTTGGAAAATAGCTGAGAAATTTAGTGTGAATGTAAATGTAAGATTTTCAAACCACAGAAATGTAGCAGTGGTCATATATCTTATGAATCTCTGGAGCTTTTTAGGCTCAAGAACTCCCAACAGTACCACTTGAGATAATGCAATTGGCTTCTGAAGAAAAAACAAGTTTCCTTCCTGACCTTTCAACTACTAAAAGTCAACTTTCACACATAAAAAAGCAAAATGGTCATTAAAAAAGACAAAATATGCTTATCAACCATAGCTAGTAACCAAACTTAAACTAACATTAAAGCTTTAGAGCACCCATCCCTAAAATAAGGTCCCAGTTATAATTTACAACCAAAACAGCATTTTTCCAGATATAAAGAATTATAACCTTCCACTCAATTAAGAGTATCTTTAGAGCAGAACTTAAATGTCACAATGAAAAGATTACATGAGGAAAAAAAGATTTCATGAAAATGTACAGTAACTGAGTGAAAGGGACAAAAACAATTAAAAATAAAAGTATAGGGCTAGGGATTTAGCTCAGTGGCATCATGCCTGCCTCGCAAAAGCAAGGTCCTGAGTTTGATCCCCACTGCCAAAAAAAAAAAAAAAAAAAAAAAAAAAAAACGGTAAGGATCAGTCTAATATATGAATAATTTACTTTTTCCCTAGTTATGAATTACACATGTTTAAAGATCCTCCTAATTTAGGTATCTCACTTAAATTCAGACAAATTAACAACAGTTTAGAAGAGTAAAGAGAGATAATAAACTGATTACCTATGAAAAGCCGAAACTGAAAGGTACTTTTAATAGTCAAAGAAAAAAATGTTTTGAACTATGGTTAATTAAGCCCCGCGTGGTAGTGCACGCCTGTAATCCCCCCTGAGGCAGGAGGATCACTGTGAGTTCGAGACCAGCCTGGGCTACACAGTGAGTTAGTTAGTTCTAGGTCAGTCTCATTATATAGTGAGACCCTTGTCTCGAAAAAACCAAACTAAAAAAAAAGGCTAATTAGTGCAAAACTCAGGTACATTTTATGCGATCTTTCAACATTACAACTTTTTTTTAATGGCACCTCGGTTCATGATCTGAAGTACCACTGTATTTATTATTATTGTTGTTGTTTCAATTCACTTTAGTTTTTGGAGACAGGTCTTACTATGTAGCCCAGACTACCCACAAACTTGCACCGCTCCTCCTGCCTCAGCCTCCTGAGTGCTGGGATTATAGGTGTGCCATAAAACCCGCCACAACTTTATTTTATTAAGTAGTATTTGAAATTACCTAAGTTCCAAACTTGGTTCTGGATCTTGCTACTCCCTCCTTTCTTTAGTTGTGCTTCCTTCCTAACTCGATACTGAGTAAAGGTACACTGTTTAATATACATCATCCAACATGTACCCGTCTTCTACCACCACTTCTGTCCTATAGCTCCATCATTATTTTTTTAGAAAGCTAGCCCAAGTCCTCTTCTGAACAGTGATTACTTTTACTTAGCTTTTGTAATAAGTTTTATTTAAATTTACTTTGTAAAAATACCTCTACATGCCACCCAACACAGGTTTGCCTGGCCATTGATTCAAAATTACTACTTCAGGTCTTAAAACTTTGATCCAGAAAATTATTTGGCCACTGTGATATTGTGGTATAAAAAGTATGTATTTGGTTTCTGCCACACAGATCCTAAATCTCTTGTAATTCCACACATGATAGGGGTACTAGGTGCATCCTGTTCTAATATATGGTCTTGGACCTCAGTTCCTGACAGAATTCTAATCCTTTGGAACTTCCAAAGTGACAGAGGAAATGAAGTAACTGTTTTTTCTTGAGATAGGGTCTCACTATGTAGTTGAAACTGACCTGGAACTCACTATGTAACCCATGCTGGTCTCAAACTTACAGTGATCCTCCTGCCTCAGCCTCCCGAGTGCTGGGAGTGCTGGGATTACAGGCGTGCACTACCATGCCCGGCTGACGTAACTCTTGATGGACTCCTAGGTAGGGGATGGTCACCTGAAAGACCAAACCATGATAAATTCTTGACCCCACTCCATCCTCCAAGGAGGGAGACAAGCTGGAGACTGAGTTAATAATTGATCATACCTATGTGATGAATGAAGCTCACACAAAAACCCTGAACGATGGGACTAGAGAATTTCAAGTTTAGGGAACATGTGAAGGTGCTGGGAAAGTGGTGAACCCAGAGAGGGCATAGAGTTCTGCAACCCTTTCCACCTAGGCTGCCCTATGCATCTCTTCCATGTGGCTCCTCACTGTATCCTCTGTAATACCCTTTATAAGTTGGCAAACATAAGTTAAGTGCCTTCCTGGGTTTTGGAGAGTTGGTCAGGGTGACAAAAATCAACCCATCTAGGTCACCCATCTAGAAATGTGTTGAGTAGTCAAAGTATAGTAGGAGAGAAAGCAGTTTGTTGTTTTCCTCTATTACTTAGTCACTTAAGATTAAAACAAACAAACAAACAAAAAACTAAAGAACAAAATAAAATAAAACTCAGGGTAAGGGATTTAGCTCAGTGGTGCTACTCCTGATTCACAAGCACAAAATCCTGAGTTCCATCCCTGATACTGGGTGGGAAATAAATAAATAAATAAATAAATGAAACAAATCTCCTAAATTAAGATTCCAAATGACTAAGCTAATCAAAATTTAACTGTGTTCTTGATGGCTATACGACACAATCTTATATAAATATTACTGATATAATACTGTTATATAAACCAAACCCATCATTCCTTTGAAACTCTAAGATCCTGTCAGCCTCTAAAAAATTACTTTAAACATTCTAAAGGTACAATCTTGGGCAGGGGATTTGGCTCAGTGGTTCCGTGGCCTGCCTGGCAAGCACAACAGCCCAAGTTCGATCCCTGGTACCTAAAGGTACAATCTTACTGATATAGGCATCTCTCCTTTAGGCAAGAACAACAGAGTATGATTTTCAATTCATGGTGTCCATTAATCAGAGAACAGGTTACACAATAGGATAGTTATGTCCTAGGCCTCTTGGCTACCAAGACCTTGCATACCTAGAACTAATGAAAACAGCTGATTTCCGTTAATCTGTTTTTAATAGAGGATGAAAGAAGACAAGGTAAAAATGTACTAATAGTGTTAGAAAAGTAAAACTATTATTCCCATCCAAATAGAGATAATCAAATGGTGCAATGTTTAGATTTTATAGCTATATTCTTAGAGAACTGCCCTTCTTTAAATTCCTGACGGAAAAATAACTGCTACTATGAATAAAATTCTCTAGCCCCTAATCCATTACTTCTATTGAAATAATTGCTTTTATAATTCGATTTTTTTTAAGATGGCTTTTTTTTTTTTTTTTTGGTTTTTTTGAGACAGGGTCTCACTATGTAGTTGAGACCGAACTGGAACTCACTATGTAGCGCAGGCTGGTCTCCAACTTACAGCAGTCCTCCTGCCTCAGCCTCCCAAGTGATGGGATTACAGGTGTGTGCCACCATGCCCGGCTCTGTAATTTACTTTTGAGGAGCCAGGGATTTAGCTCAGTGGTTCCTCTGCCAGACTCGCAAGCACAAGGACCTGAGTTTGATCCCCGTACCAAAAAAAAAAAAAAGAAAAAATTCTTTTTGAAGTTTCTTAGTGCCACAACAGAACAGAATGATGATCTCTCAAAATGGATCCATATATATTCCTCATTCACACCCACCTGTAGGACCAGAAGTTGCTTCAGGAGATGATATATTCTGTGTTGGCTTTTCATTTCTCTGGTTTGGTGAGGAAATTATAAGCCTGTCTTGCCCCCTGACACTTATTTCCGTTTTGTTACCAATTCCCTTTAAAATAAGGCAAAATTAAAAAAAAAAAAAAAAAAAAAAAAAAAAA